ACTCTCATTTTGATGTTTCTCTCTCTCTCTCCCCCTCTCCCTTTCTCTAAAAATCAATAACATATATTTTTTTAAATGTATGTTATTGATTTTTTTACAGAGAGGAAGGGAGAAGGATAGAGAGTTAGAAACATTGATGAGAGAGAAACATTGATCAGCTGCCTCCTGTACACCCGCTACTGGGGATGTGCCCACAACTAAGGTACATGCCCTTGACAGGAATCGAACTTGGGACCCTTCAGTCAGCAGGCCGACACTCTATCAACTGAGCCAAACAGGTTAGGGCCGTGGTCGGCAAACTGCGGCTCGAGAGCCACATGCAGCTCTTTGGCCCCTTGAGTGTGGCTCTTCCTAAGCCTTAGGAGTACCCTAATTAAGTTAATAACAATGTACCTATCTATATAGTTTAAGTTTAAAAAATTTGGCTCCCAAAAGAAATTTCAATCGTTGTACTGTTGATATTTGGCTCTATTGACTAATGAGTTTGCCAACCACTGGGTTAGGGCAATAAAAATATTTTTTAAAAGACAAATCAAATTATTGATACTAGGAGCTTAAAAGCTAATTATAATATGAAGTGGTATATAAACAAAGGCCCCCTGAAACTTAGCACAGAGAAGGTGGCATGATCAACGTGTAGGCCGAGTGGACGAAGGAGCCCTTTTGGAAGAGGGAATGGACACTGATCTTGTAGGATGGAGAAATTCCAGAGCCAGGTTGAGAGGGAATTCAGCACAACCCACAAAGGTGAGCTTGGTCTTGCTCTCACACCTGTCAATTATGCTAACTCCCCAGAAATAACATCTATTAGCGTTTGCCAGAGTATATTTCTTAGGATAGTCAACACACACTCAAAAAATGAAATAAAATGGTAAACCTGGAGATTAAATAGGTTTCTTCTTTGCACAACTTCTCAGAACTCAACAGACATTTGTAATTCTCCCCAAAATGGTTAAACCATAAATCCCCTTTCCCAAAAGAATCTCAAAGAACTAATATTTTGGCAAGCCTCTCTTTCAACCTCTCTGATATTATATCCAACCCATGGTGAGCAAGGAAGTGGAAAGCACCAAAGAAAGACAGTGGCCAAGCCCTGAAACTGTGCTTTCAGAAAAAGAGGTCTGGGTAGGGCAGGGATCAGACCAGTCCATAGCATTAGGTATGGCTGATTTTTTAAAAAGTAGTCAAGACTGTTTCTATGTGGCTCTGTGTTAAAAATTTTACCTCAGATAGGTTCTAAAATCACTTTCATTTTACAGATTAAAATGCTGTAGTCCATCAAGAAATGTTTGTTTGCTTTTTGCTGATCCGACAAAAAAAGGAAAAAAAGAAAGTATAATTCTTATTCATTCATACCAAAAGGCTATTGTTGTGTTGGCTGCTGTCACTTTTTTATTTGACAGTCTAAGGGAAAAGAGGTCCGTGCCCCTGACTAAATAGCCAGGTGTCGCATGTTTTAAATATTGTGGCCCAGCGGTTGAAAATCGCTGGCCACAATAATCCGTTCCAGGAGCCACCTGGGACTGTGCTTCCTTGTCAAGAACTAGTCTTGGGGCTGGAGGCAAAAGCTCAGAAGCAGACAGTTCTGCCAAAACCGGGAGGAATCTGAAGCTAGGCTCAAGGTGGAGACAGTTAACCACAGGGAACAACAGAAGCACTTGGAGGTCAAGAACAACAGTTAGAGACTGGTGAGGCCTGTGAAGGATCAAGATAACCCACACAGGGAAGTCATCAGCCGTCACTCTTGCTGCCGGCAGCAGCTGGAACACACGACGCTTCCTGTGTCCCCACCACAGCAGAATGAGGTTCCTGTGAAAACACACCCTCGAAATAGTTGGCACTACAACCACTTGTTGCTGTGCACTTACCGCAGTAGCTATACCAAAGGCTCACATCAGAGGAGTTGCAGATCCAGTGCTCCCCGGGTTCAGGCAACGTGGAAGAAAACAGGGTGGAAAAAAGCATAAGTGGGAACATGATTTAATAGCTCCAAAACTTTACAAATGCAAGGAGAACCAGCAACTCATCCTCAGGCTCTTCTTCCCTTTCAGTAAGTAGGAAAGAGTCAACTTAGTCATCAGTCACATGACTTCTAAGTTCCAATCCGTTTCCTCTTTCTGTGTGTGTGTGTGTGTGTGTGTGTGTGTGTGTGTGTGTGTGTGTGTGTGAGAGAGAGAGAGAGAGAGAGAGAGAGAGAGAGAGATTTGAGCACTTCCTGCAAGGGGAGAAAAGAAAATGATTTAGAATATATGTACTCTTTTCCAACACTTGATGCAAATTACAACGCAGAGCTTTACACACAAAACAAGGTATTTCCCAGTCAACAGTAACAAAGCCAGCCTGTAGGTCTCCTTTAGGATCCCCACAGACGACACCCCTTTTCCGTCTACATTGTTATTCTCCCACAGAGGCTCTTTACCCAATTTCTCATGGCCCAGAGCACTGGGCAAATAGATCTGAACTGAACAGCCCTCTGCAAACTATTTCTGCTCAGCAACAGTTCAGCCATGGGGCAGAGCCGAGCTGCACAAGACCCCAGACAGTCCATCAGCTGTAGGTCTGCCTTGTGGGCTGGGGCCCCGCCAGGCTTGAGAATGCACTTCCTTAAGCAAACTGCAGCTCCAGGAAGTATTTTGAGCCCTAATAATAAAATGACCACTATTTCATGTATGGCATGAATTTCATTTCAAAATTCTTATTCCATTTCAGAAAAAGTTAATCCTTTAGATTCTTTGCTATTTGAAATCATTTATAGGATATAGTTTGGGATTACAATGACATGGAGTTGGGGCCTAGAAATCTACAAGTTTAGGTGGTCATAAGCACATGTTGGTAAAAGGTTTCAAGAACTGTGTGACTTTTCTTTTTTTTACATTTTAAACTATTTAATAGAGGTATTTGTTGTACATGTGGTTTTAGTGTAACAAACACAAAATTTCTCTATGAAAACACCTAACCTGAGTTGGAAATGAAATCTGAAGAAACTCTAATTCACAAAAGTAACTCTTCAAAATATAAGCAATGATTGATCCGAATTGAGGAGTTTCCCTGAAGTTCAGGGCTCAGACCCAGGACAAGAATGAGGGAAAACTCCTTGTAGGTCAAAAGCTCTGAAGTCATAGGATTACACTTGCGGGCCCTTAATGAGAGTGAGCTTTCTCAAACAGCCCCCGAAAGCCCCGGAAGGAGGTCTTGCTGCTCAGGCAGTTTTGCAGCTTTCCTTTTCTTTTAAATTCAAACAGCCCCCGAAAGCCCCGGAAGGAGGTCTTGCTACTCAGGCAGTTTTGCAACTTTCCTTTTCTTTTAAATTACTTAAAAAAAATTTTTTTTTTATTGATTTCAGAGAGGAAGAGGGAGAAATAGAAACATCAATGATGAGAATCATTGGTCAGCTGCCTCCTGCATGCCCCATCTTGAGGATCGAGCCCACAACCCAGGCATATGCCTGACAGGGAATCGAACCATGATCTCCTGGTTTATAGGTCAATGCTCAACCATTGAGCCACACCGGCTGGGCTTCCATTTTTTTTAAAGGCACAAATCCACGGGAGAGGAGGATATGGGGAGTTGTTCAATAGATATTTTCAGGTTTGCAAGATAAAAACATTCTAGACATCTGTTGCACAGCAATGTAAATATAGTTAACACTGTACTGAATTGTACTAAACTGCACACTTAAAATTGGTTAAGATGGTAAATTTTTGTTATACATTTTACCATAATTTAAAAATGTGTTTAGCCCTGGTCAGTGTGGCTGTTGATTGAGCATCATCCCATGCACCAAAAGGTCTCTGGTTATATCCTAAGTCAGGGCACATGCCCGGGTTGCAGGCTTGATCCCCAGTAGGAGACATGATAGAGACAGCCAATGTTTCTCACATCAAAGTTTCTCTCTCCCCTGCTCCCTCCTCCCTTCCTTCCACTTTAAAAGCAACGGGAAAATATCCTTGGGTGAGGACTAACAACAAAAAGATATACATCACATTAACTGCTAAGACAGCAACAAGAATATACCTAAGTAACACAGGGCAGAACAGGCAGGCAAAGACCCAACTTGCAAAGAGATGGAACCAGCTTATCTTTGAGACCCTCGAGTCCGCTCTCTGCTAGGCAAGCTGGCAGATCCTAGGACCTAGCAGAAGGCAGGCTCTGGGTGTCACAAAAATGAGCTCTTTTCTATCTAAAGCTATAAGCTAGCAGTTTCAGACTTGATCATCCCTATGAACTAGTGATGGCCCTGCTGCCTCCCCATCAACCTCCCTTCATAGAGGCGAGGCGTGAAGATTAGCCTCACCATCTTGGCAGGCAGTAAGACATTAGGTAGCTCCATGCAGTTTGGGTGTTTTGTTAACTGTGACTCTAGCAATTAGCACAGTACCTAGCATACACTAGGCACTTAAGATTCTACAGATCTAAATGGTTTGAGCTCTTTTGCTCCTGGCTGAAAATCCTTCAAAGGAACCAACTTTTGTTTTACAATTAGAGGTAAAATCTTAAAATGCCAATACTTAGTAAGTTAGCAGAGATCGCTATTTATGAAAGTACTATCCACCTTAGTGCAAGTTCTTTTCCTACTGATAGGATGCACCAAGGGAGGAGTGCATGAGGGACCACAGAAGACACTGCTGAGGGCACCATTTCCTCACAGCTTACTACATGGAGAGCCTTATTACAGGCAGCCCTGTCAGAGAACCGAGGTAACAAGCTGTGACCAAAGGAAGCAGATTAACACTGCTTTCCAGAATATGTAAATTTTTTAAATAGTTTTTAATGTGAGAAAAGATTGTATCTATACTTAAAAAAATCCAAACACAAAGGAAAAATAACCCCCCTATGTGCCTGATATCCAATTCCCAGCTGAAAGACAACCACACTTATTCATTATCCATGCATATGCCAGCATGTACATGTATTTTCACACCTTTTTTAAAACACAAATGGTGGAATATTGTGTTTTGTTTTTCAAGCATAGCTTGTTATTATAAAGGAATATAATTATCTGAAAATCAATCAAAAGTTGTTTGTTACAGTTTCAATTTTTTAAGTCACTAATAGAAAACAAAAGTAAAGGCAATTTTATTATTATACACGGGAAAATAAATCACATTTAAGCACAAACATAAAAACAACAGACTCATTTCTCATCTTCAAGCTGTTTCTTTTCACTGGGTTCTTCCATATCAAAAGTGAATGGTTTGTCATAACCCATTAGATGGTCATAGTCTTTGGGGTTTGGAAAGAGACCTGGATTAACTAACAGTGATTTTGTTTTAGCATAAAATGTGGTAAACAGATGTGTGCTGCTTGGAATCTTCACGTCATTCTGTTGAAACACAGTACTGGTTTCTAAAAGCAAAACATTGTAAGTAATGGCTTTGTAAGTATCTGTCGTGGCCTCATGGTACAACCGAATGACATAGCCTTTTGTAACTAAGTGAAGCAGGACTGGAGTGATCACTGTAAAGCTTCCTATGATGCCATAAAATAAGATTTGCAAAGGCAGACTTCCAAATACAACATTATTTTGGGCAAAAATGTATGGTAGAAATGTAAGGCTGATCACACTTGTAGAATAAGAGAAACATTTCACACCTAAACAGGAAAAAAAAGGGAGAGGATTAATACTTTTAAATTTTATAAAACAATCAACCTATCCAATTAATTTCCCACATTTGTTCTTACTATATCATCATTAAAACAAAACACAGAAGTGTTATAACATTCCAGGTTCTGTCTGAAGCACTCTACATATTTTATTCATGAAATCTATAGACAGCCCTATAACACACATGCACAATTATTAACATGAGATAATTTGAGATGGGAAAAATGAGGCCCTTGTTCAATGTCACATAGCTACCAAGTTGCAGTGCTGGGATTCAAACCCAGGCCATGTGACTCAAGTCCAGGCCATTGGCCATTCGAGCGCACTGCCTCTCCAGATGGGAAATGTGCTTTAGGATTAACTGGTCTCTACCTCAGTTCCCCAATAAAAGATTTAACAACACTCAAAGATCATTATAAGTACTATAACAATCAGTTCAGTCAGCACATTATCAAATAAAACTCTCTATTAACAAGCACCTGCACGTACATAATATAAATTCTTCAAATGGGGGGCTAACTTTATCTAGCTAAGAACCCAAGCTTAAAACAACAAATTACCAAAAATAAAAATAATACCAGTGGATAGAAATATATAGGAAAGGTATTCAACATATCATATTAGAAAGATTCAACATCAATGACTTCTGAACTGTATACTTAACAATAGTTAAAATGATAAATTTTGTTATGTGTTTTACCACAATAAGTAAACAAATGACTTTAAATGTAAATTTCTTTGCATGTATACTTTTAACATAATCCCAATAAAATACCAACTGTTTGGAAAATAGACAAGTTGATATCTTAGACAAACCGATTATAAAGTTAATTTGGAAAAACAAAAATAAAAGTGGAGGGGAATGTTAGATACTGAAACATAAGACTATAATTAAGATAGCACGATACTGCCCTGGCTGGTGTAACTCAGTTGATTGGCGTGTTGTCCTGTACACTGAAAGGTCCAGGGTTCGATTCCCTGTCAGAGCACACACCTAGGTTGAGTTTGGTCTCTCGTTGGCGTACGTTTGAGAGGCAATCGACCAATGTTTCTCTCTCACATTGAAATGTGTGTGTGTGTGTGTGTGTGTGCGCGCGCGCGCGCGCGGGTGCCTTTCTCCCTTCCTATCTTAAAAAAAAAAAATCAATAAACATATCCTCAGGTGAGGAGTAAAAAAAAAAAGCATGGTGCTGATGCATAAAAAAGCAGACTGATCAGTGGAACAAAATGAAAAATCAAGAAATAAACTTTATAGTATATGGATATTTAGTGCAGAATAAAGATTAATCTAAAATAAATGGGCAAAAGTGGTACTGGACAGCTGGATAGCCATACAGAAAAAGATAAAATTCAATCCATCCCTCATATCAGGAAAATTGCAAATAATTCCGAGATTTAAATATAAAAAAATAAAATCATAGAGGTATAGGAAGAAAACATCCATGAAGTCCTTTGTAATCTAATATGAAAACTTTTCTAATTATGACTCAAAATACTGAAGCAATCAGGGGGAAAGGCTGGTAAATCTGAACCCATTAAAATGTACATAGATATGAACACCATAAACAAGTATAGACAAATGACAAAAATATTTGCAACTTCTATGCAAATAACACTCCCAATATATAAAATGTTTCTAGTATATGAGAAGAAAAAAACCAACACTGTACAAACATGCAAGAAGTACAAGCAAGCAGTTCATTGAAACAAAAATGCACACGGTCCTTAAACAGATTAAATGATGCCAAACCTCAATCATATGAAACATGCAATAAAAACCACAATGAGATGCCATCTTCCCCCCAAACTGGCAAAAACCAAAAGTTTGACAGCAGATGCTGTTGGACAAAGTAGACACTCTCATCCATTACTGTTGGTTGAAGGCTTGTATCAGTAATTTAAAAATAATTCCTTCCTCTCACAGTAGTTGCCATGACACTGGTACACGTGGGATACAATGTGGACCAAGTTGCCTCCTATAGTAAAGCCTCGTCAGCCCTTCCAACTACCTCTTTTTCCTCCATTGTCACAGTGTAGTGGGTTGAATAGCATCCCCCCAAAAGTTATGTCCACCCTGAATCTCAGAATGTCAACTTATCTGGAAATAGGGTCTGTGCGGACAAATAAATATTGAGATGAGATCATACTGGATTAGGGTGGGCCCTAACTACAATGGCAGTATCCTTATAAGGATAGGCAGGACAGACACAGAGAAGGCCCTGTGAAGTAGAAGGCAGAGATGAGTTATACAGCTACGGAAGTAGTGCTGAGAGCTACCAGAAGCTGGAAGAGGCAAGGAAGAATTCTTCCCCAGAGCCTTCAGAGAGAGCATGTCCTGTCAACACCTTGACTTCAGACTTCCAGCCTCCAAAACTGTGAGAATAAATTTCTAATATACACATACACTTTATTTTGCCTGGATTGAATTACTATTTTTTAAACATATTCTAAGACCACTTGAGGTCTTGCTCCCTGGTATATGTCATCAGTTTGGCTCAAATAAACTCTTAAAAATTTTTCAAAAAGAAATAAACATAGCCCTAGCTGTTTGCAGGTTTGGCTCAGTGGATAGAGCGTCAGCCTATGGACCAAAGGGTCCCAGGTTCGATTCTGGTCAAGGGCACATACCTCAGTTACTGGCTCCTCCCCAGCCCAGGCCCTGGTCAGGGGCATGCAGGAGGCAACCAATCGATGTGTTTCTCTTACATCGATATTTCTGTCTTTCCCTCTCTCTAAAAAAAAACAAAAAACCTTCTAGGCTTTCCGATCTTCCTTTGCTCATACTACTTCCATGCCTGGGATGCCTTTCTTTCACACCTCCTCATGTTTAAAGTCTACTCATCTTAAATGAGAATACTATGACATAAGTAATTACTTATTGCTGAATTAACAAAATGTCTGCAAATGTCTTTAAACTAGGACCCATTTGGTAGTTAAAGAACCTTCAAGAATGGTGCATCTATATCTTAATGTCTCTTAATTTTACATAGAAAAAATGTTTCTCCCTGTTTCTACATAAAAAAAAATATTAATCCCTGATAAGTAGTGACTTTCTATTATCATAATACTGAAAGAAATCGAATATTAAATTCCTCTACAAGTTACAATTCTAGAACTTTGAATACCCTGGATAGATTTCCTCTTACACAAATATTACATCCTACTCACACCAAAATTAATTCCTATTAATATTCTCGTCTTTCCAGAATGGATTCAAGTGTGAACATTAGATAAATTGATGACTTTCCTGCATTTGCAGGAACAGTGTCTGTTCAGAGGAAGGTTATGATGGGGATCACTGTTAATACAACTCAGTGGCATCAATCCAGGTATCCCAGGCCAGAAATGTGACACAGCACAGGCTCAATGGCATAGTCATGTACTGACTTCTGAAGAAATTTCTAAATTGATTATTAGAATAACTTCAGGACTTCACTCAATAGTGATAATAACCTGTCCTTACTCCTAAAGTTTTAAATAGCTAAAAATGTACTTTAAATGCACTCTATTTTAATGTCAAACACTAGAGAACACACAGATTTCCAGAGTAAATTTTAATGATTGATTGATACCAGCATGATCAAAAACACAAATGCAAATGTGAGTGTTGAAATCTAATGTCGGACTTGGTTATAAAAACAATCCTCCATATAATTCAACTTATACCTTTTTTAGATTATATAACGAGATACCTAAGTTCTCCTGATCTTCCCTACTAAATTGTTCCATACTAAATTCTAATTATGATCTAAGGAAAGAGTTTTAAATTTGTAGCAATTTAGTACACCATCTTTTCCTTCTCCACAATTCTCTACCACCTGGAAAAGCCACAATAAGCATGTTTGTTGAAAGTTCTAAGATGACCTAAAAAAACTGTAAAAAAGTATTACATGCTCATTTTAACTGCCAAATTTTAAAATATATGAAATAAATGTTTATTAAAAAAAAATAACCTCTTCAGAGGTATTTTCTTTTTTTTCTGTATATTCAAACGTTACCTGAATATACACTTTTTGCTGTTTTGTTGTTAAACATCCCAAGAGGTGACCAAAGGAAAGAAGCTTTAATACCTAGCCATGCCAAAACCGGTTTGGCTCAGTGGATAGAGCGTCGGCCTGCGGACTGAAAGGTCCCAGGTTCGATTCAGGTCAAGGGCATGTACCTTGGTTGCGGGCACATCCCCAGTAGGAGATGTGCAGGAGGCGGCTGATCGATGTTTCTAACTCTCTATCTCTCTCCCTTTCTCTCTGTAAAAAATCAATAAAATATATTTTTTTAAAAATACCTACCCATAAGATCACAAAGGCATAACAGACTTCAAAAATCTATTTAAATCTAAAAATGCAAAGGTCTCAACCTCTAAATCTTCTATCAACAAGCCACAAGAAAAAAAATTATAGTTTATTTTTTCCTTGTCTTGCAATTAAGAGGTGCTAAAGTAGCACATACTAAGAGCTTTTTTTTTTTAACAATTAAAAGGAAAAGACAATACCATCATTTCTGATTACCCACCAAATACTGTTTGGGCCAAATTCCCAGTATAAATCAGTCTTCCGTCTTCTGATTTTTCAACTTGTTTGTGTAAGCATCGAACACATCTTTCCCAACAAATGGGTATCTATTAAAACAGAGACCTTTATAAGTAGATAATTAATTGTATTTAGAACAACTTTTAAATTAAAAAAAATTAAGATAATGAAGAGAACTTGTCACATGAGGTGATAAGGAACTCTCCCAAATAATCTAGAGCTAAAGATACCAAACTTGCTAATAGAATGGCTTTCCTTAAGTCCCGTCATAAGTAGACCCATGTTAAGTTGGAATTTGAAGGCGTAGGTTTGCATCCCAGCTTCAAGCTTTTTAAATAGTGTGACCTTGAACATATAAAAACTTCACTGGAATAGTTTCTTCTATTCCACTGTTAATGAGAACATCACCCTCGTTTGATTGTCAGAGTTACATGCATTTGCTCTTCAAAAACAAAAACTTTATTAATGTAAGTAAAACACTGAAAAATCAGATTGTGTAAATTCCAGAATGTTTTTATTACTTCTAAAATATTTATACTGCCCTGGCTGGTTTGGCCCACTGGATAGAGCATCGGCCTGGGGACTGAAGGGTCCCGGGTTCGACTCCCGTCAAGGGCATGTACCTTGGTTGCAGGCACTTCCCCAGTGGGGGGTGTGCAGGAGTCAGCTGATCGATGCTTCTCTCTCATTGATGTTTTTAACTCTCTATCTCTCTCCCTTCCTCTCTGTAAAAAATCAATAAAATATATTTTTAAAAAAATAAAAAATTTATACTATAGCTAGTACAAAAAAAAAAAAAAAGAGTAAGTCTTTAAGGCCTTGGATCTATCCCCTGGCATCCTTTGCTCCCTTTAAGGAAACCATATTACTTGAAATCCAACATCAAATTTCATGGTAACAGGAGTCCCCGGAGCATCGGAAAATGAATTTCACAGCACACAAACTTCAAAAGGCAAGCCCAATTCCTTTCTGCTGAAATATAATTAGTTTCCAATTTCAACCATGTCTGCAAATCCTGGTATTTCACTGGGCAGGATCAGAAGACAACTGACTCAGATTAAAATGAGAGGATTAGCATCTCCATCCCCTTTTTTCAGGGAGCAAACGAATGCCTAAAAATAGAGCCGCCAAATGAAAAAACCCGAACTCAGCCCCACCGGTGTGGCTCAGTGATTGTGCACGGACCTATGAACGGGAAGGTCACGGTTCGATTCCCGGTCAGGGCACAGGCCCCGGATTGCAGGCAGGAGGCAGCCAATCGATGTTTCTATCTCTAGATCCCTCTCCCTCCTCTAAAATCAATAAAATATTTTTTTTTTTAAAAACAACTCAAAGTCAGGTTATCCAAGTTCGTGATTCGGGATATAATCTGCATGGATGTGTTGCAAATTAACCCTTCTGAGCTTCTGCAAAAAGGGCAAACTGCTGTAAAGTGCTCGGACCCACGCAGAGAAGAACCCCTTCCCAGAGGATGCGCCGAGCCCCGCGGGAGCCGTGGTGCCCGGGCTCACGGGCTGTTCCCGGGCCGAGTCCGGCTACTCCTGCGGCCCCCGCCCAGGGCTCTGGC